GGGGGGGATGGTTGGATGTACAAAGCTGTTCACATCCCGTCTCCTAGCAACAGTCAACACTGGTTTCTATTATCTGTAATCTGAGGGTGAAAATATTACAGTTCAAGTCCGTCTGCAGCCACAGAGCACTGCCTGTGTCCCCCTAGAACTTTGGTCCAGTCCTCAATAAACCTCTTTGGGCTCTGACACACCCATGTCCACAACCAGCTGTTGGTTCTTCACTGAGCGTCTGTGGCCGACTGTCACCTGTAGTTTCAACAAGTCGACTCTTATCAGCCAGGGAACTGGCTCTCAGTGCAAAACAAACCACAACCAGGTACAGCTGAACTCCTTTAAAACAGGAAAACATTCCTATTGTGATGATTCATCAAGACGCTTTAAACAGATTGTTTCTTTGTCTGTTTGTCTTTTCACAATAATGTCTGGACTAAAGGGCAACACACACAAGCATCAAAACATCAACTTTGATATGCGTCCCCAAACCTGCAGCGTGATGACGTTGATGCATGTCAACCCACCATGATGGCCGTCAACGTGTCAGGATACACCACTGTCCTATTTTCTAATGTAACAAGACAACGCTCCAGAAAAACAACAGTTTCATCACCTTCCCTCCCTGTTGTGGCTCATCCTGGCTACTGTTCCCTGACTACTTCACAAACAGTTTGAGTCTCTGGTAGTTTGAGGTCAGCTTGGTGTGTCAGGGTCATATTAACCAGGCTGACATTGTGACAGAGAACAAGTCTCCAGCTCTACCTCCTCCATCAGACTGATTGTCTGTGGCTGCAGCAGGCCTCTTCATACCTGAGAGTTTTCAGTATCCAGTGTGGATCCTTCAGTCCATCAGACAGCAGCTTCACTCCTGAGTCTCCTGGATGATTGTAGCTCAGGTCCAGCTCTCTCAGACGGGAGGGGTTGAAGCTCAGAGCTGAGGCCAGAGAAGCACAGCCTTCCTCTGTGATCAGACAGCCTGACAGGCTGCAAACACACAAAACAACACACATGTTCTGAGGGAACTGTGAGGGCTGGAAGGTTTATGTTTATTACTGTCATCACCAAGCTGTTTGTGTGTAAACTTTAAATTTAGTACTTAGTCCAAGAAAAGTAATTCACAGGGTCACCTGAGAGTCTCCAGTGTACAATGTGGACTCTCCAGTCCAGCAGACAGCATCTTCACTCCTGAATCCTGCAGGTTGTTGTTACTCAGGTCCATCTCTCTCAGACTAGAGGACTGGGAGCTGAGAACTGAGGACAGAGCTTCACAGCTTCTCTCTGAGAGGTTACAGCCACTCAGTCTGAAGAGACAATGATGAAGAAGAAATAAACAATAAGTAGAAAAGATAGCAGCGTATTTAAGTTATGATACATGAATCTAACTCTCTCTGTACTTACAGAGCTTTGTTGGAGGCTTTGACCACTGGCAGCAGCCTCAGAAGAGCCTCCTCTGAAGCAGAGTATTTCTTCAGGTCAAACACGTCCAGATCTTTTTCTGATGACAGTAAGATGAAGACCAGAGCTGACCACTGAGCAGGAGACAGTTCATCTGTGGAGAGAAGTCCTGAACTCAGGGACTGTTGGATCTCCTCCACTAGAGAACCAGCATTCAGTTCATTCAGACAGTGGAACAGATTGATGCTTTTCTCTGGAGACACATTCTCACTGATCTTCTTCTTGATGTACTGGACTGTTTCCTGATTGGTCTGTGTGCTACTTCCTGTCTGTGTCAGCAGACCTCGTAGGAGAGTCTGATTGGTCTGCAGTGAAAGACCCAGGAGGAAGCGGAGGAACAAGTCCAGGTGTCCATTTGGACTCTGTAAGGCCTTATCCACAGCACTCTGGTAGAGATGTGTTAGTTCAGGTTTGTCTTCAGAGACTTCAGACAACCGGCAGGTTGTTTGTTCTTCTGACAGCAGATCGACTCCAGAGTTGATGAAGGTCAGATGGACATGAAGAGCAGCCAGAAACTCTTGAACACTCAGATGGACGAAGCAGAACACCTTGTCCTGGTACAGTCCTCTCTCCTCTCTAAAGACCTCTGTGAACACTCCTGAGTACACTGAGGCTGCTTTGATATTGATGCCGCACTCTGTCAGGTCGGATTCATAGAAGATCAGGTTGCCTTTCTGCAGCTCATCAAAAGCCAGTTTTCCCAGAGACTCAGTCATCTTCCTGCTCTCTGGACTCCAGTGTGGATCTGTCTCAGGTACTCCATCATACTTGACCTTCTTCAGTTTGGACTGAACCACCAGGAAGTGGATGTACATCTCAGTCAGGGTCTTGGGCAGCTCTTCTCCCTCTCTGGTCTTCAACACATCCTCCAGAACTGTAGCAGTGATCCAGCAGAAGACTGGGATGTGGCACATGATGTGGAGGCTTCGTGAGGTCTTGATGTGGGAGATGATCCTGCTGGCCTCCTCCTTATCTCTGAATCTCTTCCAGAAGTAATCCTCCTTCTGTGGGTCAGTGAACCCTCTGACCTCTGTCACCACGTCAACACACTCAGGAGGGATCTGATTGGCTGCTGCAGGTCGTGTGGTTATCCAGAGGCGAGCAGAGGGAAGCAGTTTCCCCCTGAAGAGGTTCGTCAGCAGCACATCCACTGAGGTGGACTCTGTAACATCAGTCAGGACCTCATTGTGGTGGAAGTCCAGAGGAAGTCGACACTCATCCAGACCGTCAAAGATGAACAGAACCAGGAACTCTTCAAACCTGCAGATTCCTGCTTCTTTGGTTTCACTGAAGAAGTGATGAACAAGTTCCACCAAGCTGAACTGTTTCTCTTTCAGCACATTCAGCTCTCTGAAATTAAATGGAAATGTGAACTGTATGTCCTGGTTTGCTTTGCCTTCAGCCCAGTCCAGAATGAACTTCTGTGTTAGGACTGTTTTCCCAATGCCAGCCACTCCCTTTGTCATCACTGTTCTGATTGGTTCCTCTCTTCCAGGTGAGGCTTTAAAGAGGTCTTCTTGTCTGATGGTTGTTTCTGGTCTGTGTGATTTCCTGGATGCTGTTTCAATCTGTCTGACCTCATGTTCATCATTGACCTCTGCAGTCCCTCCCTCTGTGATGTAGAGCTCTGTGTAGATCTCATTCAGAAGGGTTGGGTTTCCTGCTTTAGCGATTCCCTCAAACACACACTGGAACTTCTTCTTCAGGTTAGATTTGAGTTCACGTTGACAAACTGTAGGATGACTTCCTGAAAAAAAACAAAGAACATCAATGAATAAATTATTTGACAAATATGTCAACATATCTGAATATATGTTGGTCCATCTCTTGAGACGTTAGTAAACGTCCCATTGATCCAGCATGTTAAATCTTTAGAGAAATCCTCTTACTGCTCTGCAGACAGTCAGCCAGCTCCTCCTGCTTCATTCTCCTCAGGAGGTTTACTGTGATCTTCTCAAACGCCTCTCTGCTGCTCCTCCTCTGCTCTTCATCCTCACCGTCCAACACCTCCTCATCCTCCCTCTGACTCTCTAAGCATTTTGGGTAATCTGAACTCAGTCCCTTCTGGATCTTCTTCAGCTCGTTCTTCACAAAAGTGACGATGTTCTGCTCCAGCAGCTGGAACAGAATATTCTATGAATGACACAAACTAAAACCATGGAACCAAACATCAGATCCATGTTAGACACACTGACAATCCACTGGTCTACAAAGTGCAGCATGGAGATGATTGTCAACAGAATAGATGTAAAAGTAGTTGTACATGTACAGACCATAAATATGAAGTCCAGGTCCTCTCTGTGGAGGAATCATGAAGAATCAGCTCACATTGTGTTTGTACCAAAAACACAAATACAACAATTAGTTAAAGATGTTGTGTTCTGTCATGATTGATCACAATGAAAACCAGATGCAAAACAGATTCTTATCTATGTTTTTATTGGACAGTAAAAGTTATTTTATTGGAAGCATGGTATTGTCAAAAATGATATCGTAGGTCAAATTCATACCGGTTTACTCTATATATACCTTCTATACCTTCCACCCCGAGATACAACTACAACTACAAACAACTAGAATCACATCTGATGTGATACTTTTTCATATTTGGTGCAGTTTCTATTCCACCATTGTGTTGTTAGTCAGATGTACCAAGACTTAATACTATTGAACTGCCACATCACTGAAACAAAGGGTCTGTATTTGGTTTTGGCCACAGCACCATTGGGGAGACTTCCTCCTCAGAGTCTTCCTAGTCTCCAGACCTCTGCAACTGGAATTAGGATTATATCCACAATGCTACTTCCTGTTTGATGTAAAACCTACAACTAGTTAAAGATATTGCGTCATGTCATGATCATAATGAGAAATGAGATCATAATGACAGATCAAAGACTATAAATGATAGATGACCAAATTTGTATCTGTGTAACAGCTAGTCATCCGTTTCATCTATTTTAAGAACTTACTCTGGGTCATCAGAACGGCGTCCATCTTTGAAGTTAATCCCATCATCTTTAGACTGATCACTCTTCATGGACACACAGCTGGGTACAGGAGACGTTTCTCTCTGCTGCTGTGAACTGATAGAAACACTGACATTACATCATCATCATCATTCAATTATGAAGAATCTGCTCACATTGCGTCTGTCCAGGGAGCTACACGTGAGCCGTCCTCTTTGTTTACCTTTTGTTTTACGTCTCCATGCGTCCACTGGTTACCCCGTGTTTAACGTCACATTGCAATGAATTGTGGGTAATCCCCTTAGGCAAAGTCTGCATCCAATGCTGACTTACGGAAAGGGTTCATAAAGGGCTCAAAATGTCTGCAAGAGAGCCTCAAACACTCTGATTTGACAGTGAGACAGAATTAAACCCTGACGGACTTTACGGGAGCGCGCCTCAAAGTCTGTAAGGGTGGAGATTGGGATTGGGCCAATGTCTTAATCCGCCATCTAAAGAACTCTGTTGGCATCAGTGATGTGGTGCTGGATTGGTTGATGTCTTATCTGTTGAACTGGTCTTTTTTTGTAATGCTTGGAGAGGCCTCCTCTCTTCTGTGGGGTCCCTCAGGGGTCTATATTGGGTCCCCTCCTGTTTACCATGTACATGTTACCACTAGGACTCATCATATGTCAACACAATACAGAGTTCACTGCTACGCAGATGATACCCAGTTGTATTCCATTAAGACTGGCTCCAGCACTGTTTCATGTATCATGTCCTGTCTTGCCGACATTAGAAATTGGATGTCCAAAAACTTCCTGGAACTAAATGACTCCAAATATGAGGTAGTTATAATGACCCCTGCTGGCCCCTTTCTGCATTAATGATCTCTCCTCAAGTCTGGGAGCTTTATCTAATAACGTTGAGCATGAAGCCCCCAACCTGGGTGTTATTTCTGACTCCGACTTGACTTTTGATGCTCAGGTGACCAAAGTTGTGCAGATCTGCTTTACACAATTGAGATAGCGAAGCAAAATCAGGTCATTCCTTTGACCTTTGACCTGAGAGAGTCATTCATGCTTTCATCTCCAGACTCGACTACTGCGATGCACTTTAATCTGGTATCAGCAAGAGAAACATTTCATTAGAGGAAGTAACGGAATGGGGGTGCAGACAGTTATTAACCACAGAATGTTTAGGTTAGGAACAGAAACAGATGTGTTAGTGAGGACTCATCCTACCCCCCGACCCTTGTGCACTGGTATAAGATGTAGAAACCTGCACACGGGGCTCGCTCTTCATCCCTCAGACTGCACACAGGAGCTCAGTGGGATGATTGAACCTTCTCTGCACAGAGAATAAATACTACAAAGACAAACTTTCTTTTCTCACATTTCCTTATTTCAGTATTGTATCACTCACTTGTACTATTATATAGTTCCTACACCACACCTTACTAACGGGCCTTTGCTGTCCGGGCCCCTCAGCTGTGGAACTCTTCCTGGTAATCTAAGGCCGGAAAATTCAGTTTCCTCTTTAAATCTGTTCTGAAGACTCACTTTTACCATTTGGATTATTTTTACATGTTTATTTATTTAAATCTTATTTTACTGGTTTGATTGTGTTTCTTATTTGCTTTCATGTTTTATTGTGAAGCACTTTTGTAACTTTGTTTTGGAAAGGTGCTATTTAAATAAAGTTATTATTATCATCGTCGTCGTCGTCGTCAGTTTGAAATCCTCACCTTTGATCAACAGAGTGGCGGCCATCTTTGAAGTATATAGGACAAGCCATAGACCGGTCACTCTTCATGGACACACAGCTGGGTTCGGGTTCATGTCCAGGTTCAGGTTCAGGTCCAGGACAGTGTGGTCCCTGATGGATGCTGGTCACATGTGTAGAAACAGAGTCAGTGAATGAAAGACTTTGAGTCATGGACAGGTAGAGATGGTCATCTCACCTCTGAGCTTTGGTGTGGCTGGTTTTAGAGGGAGGGACTCCCTCCTCTCTGTCCTCGCACTGATTCATAGCAGAGTCCACACCTTCACACAAACAACAACATTATTTCACGACAACTTCATCATGACAAACACACACAGCACATTCACCTCAATACTAAAGACACTCGTGGGACAGTTTCCATGTCACTGAGCTGCAGAGTCCTCTCTAAGAAATGACGTTCACAATGCTCTTTAGTCTCTTGGCTTGTTTGAAGACTAGAGGAAGACTTCATGTGGCTTTTTATTGGCCTCTTTGGGGATGACGTCACTTTTCATGTCTCTGTGACATCATCAGGGCCGATGGATATCAAACAGGAAGCTGTTTATAACAGGTCAGGCTGATAACGACCTCAGTAACATTGGACGTGACGTTTGAGGCCCACATGGAGAAATACACGCTTCCTTCACTTGCGTCCTTTCCTTCCTTCCTTATTCCAGTCCACCACTGCGGTGAAACCAGCCGCCCCCGTGTTCAGAGTGTGTGATTGATCTCACGTTTACGGTGAAGCAGAGGAACAGATGAGGAACAGATGTGGGACAGATGAGGGACAGATGTGGGACAGATGAGGGACAGATGTGGGACAGATGTGGGACAGATATGGGACAGATGTGGGACAGATGAACAGATGTGGGACAGATGAGGAACAGATTTGGGGAGCCGATGGAAGGGACCAAAGGGACTTTTGAATTCAGTCTCACAACAAGAAGTTACAGAAATACTTGATGTTTGTCTTCAATGAAGTGAATAGAAATGGAGTTAAAGCTGGAAGCAGCATTGATGGTCCTCCCACCCTCGTGCATGTGGAGGGTTCTGGCTGGACGCTGGTTCAGAAGACCTTGCTCTTCCTCGTCTATCAGTTGCTGCGTGAACGAGTCAGACGGTGTTTCCTGCGTGGAGCAGCGGTGTCGTCGGCTTAAACCTCCAATGTTTGGAGTTTATCTCTGAATACAATATTAAATGTGAGCCCATGAAGAGAACAAACGTAAGCTGTGAATGTGCTTCAGTGTTTGTAACATAACAGACTGTCAAAGTAAAAGCAGCTCTCTAAACTCTCTGTGTCTGACAGTAATCTAGTAGAACACGTTGGCAGAGGAGACGAGTGAGGAGTCCAGAGAAAAGGACCGGCAGTGAATCCAGAGGCTGAGAGAGGACAGTGGGCTCAACTGGCTGTTAGTTAACCCTTCAATGAAACACTGTGAGCTCTCATCTGCAGATGTTTAGTGATGTGTTGTCAGAATGTAGCGTGCATCATTTATTGTGACATGTAACCTGAATCTCACCGTTTACTGTTTTACAGGTCATTTATGCTGATGCCAACTGACATGACTTTAAACTATTGTGAGCTCATTTCTGCTCTCCAAACTCTTTAAAATCTTTATCTTTATATAAAGGAACCACATGTTCTTCAGAGGGTCCGCTCAGTGTTTGGACCTCTGTACTTCTGAAACCCTCATATAACAACGGTTGCCAGTAGGTGGCGCTGTGACTATGAGTTAATATTGGCCTGCAGAAGTCCTCAGGCCATGACTCTCATCAAGCATGGCAAGTTTGGGAGGGTTTAGACAAAGAACAGTCTAGTTACAGCAGATTGATGGATGATGGTGAACCATGTAAAATGGCCGCCACACCACGTCCTCCCCGTTCATGAAACCTTGAAGCTTTTGATAACTTTTAATCACAAAGGTCTTTAGATTGTTCTCACTAAATATTAAGTTGTGATTCATTCTCTAGGAGGAGTTCACTAAAGTTCAGCAAAAACACAAGAAATGTACACAAAATTCAAAATGGCTGACTTCCGGTTGGGTTTAGAGGATGGCTCCAAGAGACTTTTGTTTAAGTCTACATGTGATGCATGTGCTTACCAAATGTTATAGATCTATGTGGAACGTACTGCGAGGGCTGCATGGTCTAAGTTGCGTAGGGGGCGCTATAGAGCCGACTTCCCTCTGAAGCATTAAAACCACATCAGATAAAAACATGGAGGACTTTCAATGTGAGAGCAGTTTGGTTCCGTTTGGAGCTTCTTCAGCCTCAGAAACACCTTCAGAGCTCATAATTCATAACTTTATGATCTTTGGATCACTTTTCACTGTAAAGGTCTCAAGATCTGAAGTACATCAGGTTACATCTCTAAGGAGTTAAAGTATGTTAATAATAATAATAGAAAATATAATAATTATGATGGTAAAAAAAATCAATAATGATAATAACAATCATCATAATAAACATTAAAAGAACAATAGCTCCTCTAAATCTAAATGAAGTTTCATATGTACAGTATGACGTCATCGACTGCACATCCCTCCAAGGAGTACTTCCGGTCCGGATTTCAAAGTAAAGGATCACGTGTCTTTTAGTTTACGATATTTGGGGTTAAGGAACAGAAGCGTAATTTAAGATTATATTATTTGGACTCAGTACTATTTAGACTACAGTCAGTACTAATATGAAGTACTTTTACTGTGTACTTTGTGAATCATTAAAGTTAGACAAAAAGAATGAATCTTGGTCTCGGAAGGAACTTTGACATTAGATTATTCAAAGTGTACACAGTAAAGTACTTCATATTATGTTTGACTGTAGTCTTAATAATAATCAATAATAGGATCTTAAATTACTCTTCTGTTCCTTAATCTCAAATAACTCACGCAATCCTTTACTTTGAAATCCGGACCGGAAGTACTCCTTGGAGGGCTGTGCGGTCGATGACGTCATACTGTACATACTGAACTTCACATTAAATCCATTTGTGTTCAGCTGACTGAAGAAAAGCATAAAGTATTTCTGTAACTTCTTCTCGTGAGACTGAATTCAAACGTGACTTTGGTTCCTTCATGAGGAAAGAAGGAGCGACACGCGCACTGAAGACTTTGTGACGTGTTGCTCTGTTCTTCTTCACTGGTCCTCCTCTGAAGTCCACTTGAACTAGTTTCTGCTGGACCTGAAGGACCAAAGAGTCCCTCAGTGAAAAGAGTCGCTCACTAACCTTTAGATGCAGAGAAGAAGAAGCTGCGACACCACGAGCTCCAGAAGTGAAACTAAAGAGGAAACAGGAAGGGAGGGGCCGTCACGCAAGGAGAGGAAACAAGAAATGAGGCGTCATTTCCTCAATTGCGTCACGTGAAGCGACGTCTGTTTCTGATGACGGAGGATCAACTGATCACATCTGGATCAGCTGTCAGTCGGCATTAAGCTGGAGAGACTTTTGATAAGTTTGTGTCTGTTCACACGATCACTGTATTTAATAACAGTAACTAATAATACTAATAACCAGTGGTGGGCCGTCAGGGCCTGCAAGGCCTTCTCTGCTGGTCTAAACAGAATCACAAAGTTATAGCTATTTTATAATTTAATAATTGTTCTTAAATACACTACATGTATTATAATTCATATAAATATTTTCCCCATTATCTTATGTTCTCATTGCACAGCTACTGTCTTCCTCAGTTGCTCTGCTTCCAGTGCAGCTTGTTTTAAGTAGAGCTTTTATCCAATCAGATCTCACCTCTGTGTCTCTAGGTAAGAACAGAGGCAGAGGCCTGCAGACTCACAAGTGAATCCATGTGCAGTTTAAGTGAATGGGGACAATATTGTTGATTGTCATAATGTTCAACCAATCAGATCTTTAGTTTGACATGTTGGGCGTATTCTTTGACGTGCCAGAGCCTGTTAGCTGGCCTACAAGTACGTGATTGGTCAGTGGGCTAGCGTGACATGATGGGCGGTGACAATCCCAATATCTGCTGCCTCTGTGGAGCGGACATTTTCAGCCTCAAACTCATTAAAACGTATTCAAGAAATACAACTGGGGAGGCTCGACTGTCTTCACCGGCGTCCATGAATGGAGAAGTGTAAAATGTGCAAAATGAATCAGTGTGTAAAAAGGAAACAGAGTTACTTTTGTCTCATCAGTTAATCAGTTGATCCTCTTTCATTGAGTCAGTCTGTCTCTCTCATGTCATTTAATAAACCTCTCAGAATAACAGAAAGTCTTTTAACCAAACATTTAAATTAGCTCGTAAAGCTTTAAGGTTGCGTCTCAGTCAGTCTCCTGTCGACCCTCATCTACATGTATGTTTTTAATACCTAACAATGCAGCATAATCTTATCTTTAGTCCGCGTTTCTATTAACATAATCATCCCTCGTTGTTTTTGCTTAGCTTGTTATTGTTTTATGAGTTTCATGTCTTTAGTACTTCACAATG